TCCTCGGCCGCGCCCGCCGCGCCCGCCCCGCCGAACTGCAGCGCCATGTCCGCCCGGGCCCGCCGCCCTCCGGCCGCCAGCGCCCGTCCCGGGGCCTCCTTCTGCTCCTCCAACCCAACCCGACGCCACACAGCCCTCCCCCGATTGGCTGGCACCGGCCTCCGCGGCGCCGATTGGCTGAGGGAGGCAGCGAGGTAGGATGGCTCCGGTCAGACGACCCGAGTCACCTGACGCCACTGCCGCACGTGAGCGGGAGGGGCGGGGCCCGCAGCGGCCCAGGCGCAGGGGTCTTCGTTAAGTCGTCATTAATTTTCTGCTGGCGTCACTCGTACAGGCAGCTCGAGCGAAGCTGTAGCAAATACTTATTTCATGACAATGCTTATTTCAGGCTCACAGGACCAAACTGTTCTCAGAGGGCGTGAAAAGCGCTGCCAACCACGGCGTCCTTCGCGGCCCGGCCCCGAGGCCTCGCCCGCCGGTGCGGCCCTGGCGAGGCGCGCCGCCAGCAGCGCTCACCCCCCTCGTCCTCCGCTCCCCTGGCTCGGAGCTGGTGTAGGACGCCTTTCCTACAGCAGCAGCCTCCCCCCGTGCCTGCACGCTGCCGCGCAGCACCCGGTGCAGGTTCTGACTGACAGGTGAGCTCGCTTCTCCCCTTTGTGCCCGAGCAGGGGGCGTTTGTTCTGTTTGCTTGTTCGTGGTGGTGGGGTTGTGTTGTTGTTTTAAAGATTTAACACGGTATTTTCCCCTCGTTTACCTCCCTTCTGGTCTCTTTAGGTCAGTAATCGGTACAGTAGCAAGGTACCCATTACATTCGTTAGCCCTTGATTTCAGTTTGTACATTGCCTTTAGCAAAAGTTCTGATCCATCCTCCCGCTCCTGTAAGACGAGCTGCAAAACCCATCCTAGAAACAGCAAAGTTAAACTAACAGCCAGTGGATCTAATGCATAAGACAGCTGCTGCACTTCCCCCCCACCCCTTTTTTTTTCCTGTCATTAGTTGCCTTTAAAATACCTAGTTTTAGGATAGGAGATGAATGCAGCTCTTTAAAATGAATCTTTTTCTTTTTTTTTTTTTTTAGAAGTACAACTTTGCATTTCAGAATTGTGAAGCTGATTCAGGGAAACAGGGGCCATGGAACATAGAGGCAAAATTAGAAATCACGAGTCACACACCCCACTCTTGGATTTTCTGCCCTGCCTAGATTTTCTTTTCCCCGTTGGATGAATTGGAAAGCAGAACTCCCCACATTGCACTCTTACGCACACCACTCTAATTACACAGGACATCCACGACAAGTAAGAATTTTGTATTCTGTTCAGAACCGTCCAGGCAGTATCTGGATCAACTCTCCAAGGCCCGGTTTCTGAAACAGGATCGGAGACATGAACTGCAAGGAAATCAGTACAGCTCATGCAAATTAAAAAAAAGTGTAAGTTCAAAAAAAATCCTGCATCTCCAACGTTGTGCTGCGTCCATCACTTAACTATACTCACTCCTTTTGTGCCCCTCCGAGTAGACAGTTACCCTATCAGCTTCAGTAGAAGCCTAAACTCACTGCTGAGTACTGACTTCGGACATACCTTGGAGGTCCTGCTTTCGTTTACAGTTGGTCCATTTGTGTCATGTCACCCCCTCCAGTTAAAAGGAAACCAAGACAGAGAGCAGCAGCTTAACAGGACCATTGACCATGATGCAAAATTTACACAAAGTTAGCAGGCACAGTTATCTACAACTTAATCATAACTATCACCTTTTCTCAAACACAGAAAGCAAGAAAGTTGGCCAGTATGCTTAAACTCATCAGTTGCTGCTCCAGCTGCACAAAAATAGCTGTACATTCACGATACTGCATTTTTTCTTTCTTTAAGATGACGAGGTAACAAAGTAGACATGCAGAGTTCACACAGGGGAAGAAAAGAAAAAAAAAAAAAGACTGCAGTTCTCAGGAAGCCCTTTATTAAGTCAAGGCATTAAAGGAGAAACTACTGTTATTCACCATGCTTCTCGTCTTGAGGTGGTTCATACTGAGCCAGCTGTGGATTTAAAGAGAGGAATTGAGTTAGCTGCAACATTTCAGAGACTTTCTACATTAAGAAATGTAGGAAAACATTTGGTCTGGAAGTGTTCCATTTACTTTGTGCATTTTAATCCATCACTGATATTTATCCAAGTCTATTTTCAAGTTAAGCAACAAAGTAACCCTTCCCTCAAAACATCAGTTGGTCACCTTGTATAGTCATGCCGCTATAACAAGGGGGCTTTTTAAACGTACTTGCAAGCATATAGGTCTTGCCCTTAATTTCTTCCCTGTTTCTTGTTCTAGGTCTCATTAAGTACTTTTCATCTCAAATAGCAGCTGATAATGATCAGTGCCTTATAAGCTTTGATTTCACTGGAATATGATTAAATGAAACGGTCATTCTCACAGCAACAGTACCGAAACTGACATTTTCTGTAATCATTCTAGCTTTCATTACGCTTTCTGGAGAGTATGGCCTAGGCAGCTATGCACTAAAGTATGACCTCTGCTTGTAAAGTTACTTCCAGAGACACATATGAAGGTGTTTACTTGACCTCAGTTACATTAAAGATAAGCTCAAGCTTGAAAAACAGTTCAAGCATTAGGACTGAGTCTCTGAAATAGGCCAGTCCGGTTTCCTCAGTTAAGATTCTTCCCCTCTCCTGCAAATTGCAGAGTAGGTTAAAAATAAACAAAGTACATAAAAAAATTAAAATACCCATGTGTTTCTTGTAGCAACGCTAAATTACAGCAATCACTATATCACTAACAAGAACTGCTAAAAATAGCATTTTGTCTTTCTTGTGGATTTTGCCACAAAAGATGGCCAGTGCACAATCCAAAGTCAGTTTTCTTTTCCACAAAGGCCTAACTATTGAATTCCTGCCCCCCTCCAAATACATTTATTGGTCAGCATGTCAGGTAAGGAAAAGAACAGATCTTCACAAATGAATGCAACAGAACACCACCACCTACTTGGACATGATTCAAGTTACCAATAAGTGCACGGTTAAATGCATGTGTTGTATGCTAGATGACTGCTAAAGAAAAAAAAAAAAAAGCTCAACGGTAGTGTTCTCCCTGCAATCTGTCCATGTGAACTTCTACGGTATGTCAGAATGACAGGGAAAAGATGGTAGGGGAAAGAGGGGAAAAAGCAAAAACATTAATACTGGAACACACATAAGAGTTTTCATTTGAAGGCTGAAGAAGGTGAAAGCACAAATAACCTATGATTATGGAAGGGCTTGCTTTCCTGGAACAAGTTTTCACTTCTTTAAAAGATTTCTTTAAACAAAGACTCAGGTTACTCTGCTTTCATGTGTCTACTTACTATCGGTTGCATTTTTAAGTCGGCTACGCCAAGTGAACTGCTGGTCTATTGCTACTCCCCCTAAAATTCTGCTCTTTGCCATATTTCCTAGTGAGAAATAACAAATGTAGCTGTAAGGACTCACAGTGGGTAACAAAGAGGAGGATTACTAGGGCAGCAAGAGGGCACTCCAGATGAGAAATACAAAAGGGTAATGCCCAAGAATCCTTTCTCCCAGAACTAAGGTAGGGTGGTTGTCTCCCAGTAAAAACCCCATCGGGACGTTCACACGTAACAGCCGCCGTCCTCTTCCAACAAATGCATGGAAACTTGAGGTGGAACATAAGATACTAGCTTATTAAGGTTCTCAAAGGTTTCCTTCTTCGGTGGTGTTAGGTTTACAGTCAGCGCCCTCTCACAGGGGGAAGTTGTTCACATCTCAGAGCTGTTTCAGACAGCCTGTAGACCCCTTAAAGAACGGCTCTGCCCTAGCTAGCACTTCAGATCCACTGCTGTCGCAGACAGAACAATAGCAGGGTCGTTTCAGCTGAAAAGTGCGCGTTACTGATCCACAGGGATACGAGTGCCTCCACTGGTAGCATCCTGCCACCTGCAAGTCTGTGCCAGGTCACACAAACTAGTATATAATATTCCTCCTTCAGTTTGCTTTTTGAAAGCCTTTGTAATAGATACATTCGCTTTCTTCTTTTTCAAAACTCTTGTGGAAGCATGAGCTACATAATATCAGACAACTTAAACACATCCAGACAGGACTGAATGAAGACATGGGATTAGCCTCGATAACATACACTTTCACTAAATAAATGAATAAAATCCCTAGTTTAGGAATACTATTCTATACAGGAAGTGTCCCATCAAAAAATAAATCTTTAGTACACTGAATTCTATCAGCATTCCTCAGCCGTAAGGCTAAACGATGCAACAACATTTATCAGTTACTCTAATGGAAGAAAGTTAGCTGTATTCTAAGTATTAAAGTGTTGTCTTGTTGTGTAATACGGAACTATTGAGGAACACTAAGTAGACTTTTACCTTGGTTTTCAGTTTTTTATTTTCTTCCAACACAGCTTCGTATTTTTCTTTCATCTCTGCCACTTCCAAGCGAAGTGCCTCTATTTCTGGACTCTCAGGAGCTGAAGCTCCCAGATGATGCTTCAGAAAGCTGATATTTAAATGTTAAGTATTTCTTCAGTTAGATAGCATAACCGCATTTTAACACTTGCGATGAAGTTAGTGCTGCAATACACATGACCGAAACTGCATTAAACCACTTAACATTACTACAGTGCTTTTCATCCTACAGGATGAAGTTACAAAAATAAGAAAGCTTTTCAAGTTCGTTACTATATTCCTTAAACGAAAAAAGAAAGCAAGACATCAGTACGCACAGGACAAATTCTCATGTTTCTCTACACCCTCCTTTTCCTCTCCTAAATGCAGAAGTTTTGAAGAGTTAAAAGGAACGAGCAAAAAACAGAAGCAATAGCCAAAAAGGGAGGCTGATAAAAAAATAGCAAGAAACAAAAGACATTAATTTGTTTTCCCTCTTGTATGATTAAAGAAAAAAAAAAAAAGAGGAAGTGCGAAGAAGCCGACTTCAGAAGCCACAGATACTGTAAGTACTCAAATCTAATGCTGCAGGTCTACGACATTCTGTAATGGCCTATAACTTAACTTCATAATTGCTGGCGTACTGATACGCACAGTTCTCTGGCATCCTGTCAGACTTTCTGTTATCTTGTAACAACGCAATTATTAGCTAAAATGCATCCATAAAAGCCATGTTCTCAATTTAAGTCTTCTAAACAAGCCTCTCCAGTTCACCTACGAGTCAGAAGCAGTACTGCTGTTCCGTGCGAAGTCTCTACGAACAATTCACAGAAGAGAAAAAGGATACTCCAGTGCACTATTTGGTTTCTCTGGCTCTTCATACAAGGCTACCAACACTGCAAATAGAAAATATTCAACAATTGCAAGAAGTTCATGCAACTCTAAGTTTTTAAAACATGTACCAACAGTCAGAAGGCATACAAGTTGCATGCCACATTTAGAGCACATCTTTCTGTTTAACAAGATTTTCACCTATATACTTTGACATAAAGACTAGGTCTGCTGTACAGGAGGGAACAGTGCATCGCACCCAGTAACAGCTAGACAGAAGTTTTGTTGATCCCCTAACCACAGTCCTTGGCTATTCTAGCATGGAACACAAAACAGCCTGTACAATTTTTACACATTCCACACACAACCCTAGTACTGGTTTTCATCAGCAAAATTGAAATTCTAATTATTTTGAGACTCTCCCTTCATAAACCATTACTTCCACTTAAGCTACATATTTGAACCGCAGGACAACATCAGGACTTCTGTAACTTTCAGCATAAAAGCAAACCTCCATCGAACACCTACAGTTACAAAAGGGCTACCATCAGAGTAGGTGACGCTGATCATCTCTATGGATGGGGGCTTTAGCGGCCAACAGAGTGCCAGAGAGGTCAGGCATCAGCAGCAGTACAGCTTAAATAAAACTAGCTGTGCACATACCAATTCCATACCTGGAGAACTCAGCCACGTGAATACTCAGAAAGTTCCCAAACATCACCGCTCCCCGTCCCCACAGGGGCACACACGTGGCTACAGAAGACGTCTGCTTTCATAAATACTTGGATTCCCTTCTCCCACTGTCAGATGTCCAAACTGCACAGCCAAATTAGTTTTAAGCTAAGCACCTGAGTTAAAAAACAAAATTAGGATGCCACGCTGCTTGGCACACTTGTTTTGCCATCCCATAGGATGCTTAGTATCGCAATAGAAAGCAAGCAAATGGTACCCACGAGCCAGGCCGAGCGTCGTAGCACGGCATCTATTCACTTGACATCCTAGATCTGCTGCTCCCTCTTCAAACAGCGTAGTTTCCAAGCAGGAATATTAACAGATTTTCTCCACATACTGTTGGAAGGCTCTCAAAAAGACTTCAGAAGGATTTAAAAGATGCTAAGCCATACAGAAAGCCAAAGTATGCATCAAGTTTAGCATCATCATTTCCCCGTTCCGATAGGGACAGTCACTCACACAAAACTTACAGGTTCATTAGTTTTAGGAGAAGTGCCAAGGTCTACTCAAGAAAGGATCGTTTTTAATAGAGTGGTTTTCAGAGCACGTTTGCTGTTATTTTGTCTCAAGCACTGACTTTCTCTGGAGAGCTCTGGCAGATAACAGCCCCAAGACATGCAGCTGTTCCCAGAAGCCGGGGACAAGCGCTTTGGCCGAGCAGGAGAGGTCTCCAGCAGGGCACCCGAAGGGCCAGGAACCGCCTTGCCCTGCCCGAGGGCTCTCCGCCTCTCCGGTTCCACACGCGTCTCTAACAACCGACCCAGGCCACGAACGCAGAGCTGCCAGGGAGCGAAGGCGCCGCGGCCCCCGGGCCGCCCTCCCGCGGGGCTCCTCCGCCCTCCCCCGCGCCCACTGCCTCGCTGCCCGGCTCCGCTTCGACCCCCGCACCGCCCCTCCCGGGCCGGTTCCGCCGCCGGCCGCCCCCCAGACTGAGGAGAAGGAGCGACCGGTTCGGCGAGGGG